TTAATATCTATTAGTTTTAGATTAGTATTAATTTTGTTGTGTATTAACTGCATATTGACTGTAGTGAGCTAGTATATTTTTGGGATAATAATTTGATTATCTATTTTAAGACAGTGTTTTGTAAAATGAAAAACTTTTTACTAAAAAACTTTTATACGATAGAGTATAATAGTTTTAAAATTAGAAAGCTAATTTAATTAAATTGCATTTTGAACTTAATTTAAAGCTTATGTAAATATCAATTGACTTTGAAAACTTTGAGCACATATTTACATAACAAGTAATTGTATTTGCGTTGAACCCATACAGTATAAAACTCAAATAAAACATATTTCACCAAACTAATTAGTGGGTTATTAACATCAAATATATACTGTATAACATTGGTATATATAGTACATTACTTATAACGTTAATTAATACTTATAATAATAAGTATAATATTCATTAAAAACACTATTATGTATCGAAAACAATAACTAATTATATGTCTCAGTAATTGACATTTGATTGCATGTATACTAAAATAGGATGTCATGTACGACATGTCCTACCCTTACCGGTCGGTTGGCATAACTTGTCGTCTTTACTACACGTCTGGATGTCTTCGGCAATGATCTCCTCCTTAGAGTCCAAATGAGACACAAAAACAATGCATTCAATGATTGCAATCAATACTAAATAGTTGCTTATTTTGGTCCACATTTTTGTTTAGCTACACGTATTCACTGAGCAAATGAGTGCAGAATATTCTGGTGATATGTACAGTAAGTATAGTACAGTATAAAGTATATGATTTGAAAGCAGTTTGCAGTGAATTGATTTAAAATTCATTTTATTATTTTATTTTCAGTTTTGTGTTTATTATTAAATACACTAAACTTTCTGTATAGGTGCTGATTAATTAAGCTATATTAAGTTTTTAACTAGTTTAAATTATGATATTTTAAACTCATTAATTTTTTTTGACAAAGTTATGAAATGTAATTATAATTGATTTTGTTATTTATTCGATAAGGATAATAATTTGTTAGTTCATTATAGCGAGTAGTGCACAATAAACAGGGTACATTGTATAGCGACTGGAAATATGAAAATAAGTGCTTAATTACAAACCAACAGATTATATGAATGATTAATTTAATGATTTATTTGGCAGATGTTTGTGCGATACGACCATAAAATACATTATTTATATCGTTTTCAGTGCATATTCTGTATTAGAGTTAAAATATAAACTTATCGATAAAACTAACAGTAAGACAATCTTATACAGTAAGACTAACAGGGTCATATTTTAATAGATTACATAACTTCAGTATTATTTGTTTTAATTATAATATTATTAAGTATTAAATATAGTATTTGAATAAAATGAATACAAATTACATATTTAAAAATATTTATCTAAAAAAGTAATAAATTTAAGTGCTGCTTGTTCATAAATTAAAACTTAAATAAAAATAACCTATAAAATGTACTTGATAAGTTTGGTAGGGTGTGCCGTATGAATAGTACCTGGCTAATTTGATATGCATTTTTTATTATCCATTATAATATATTCCGTATAAAAGCTTTTATAATGCAATATTCTTATAAGAATATTTATTTATATTTTTCAATGAATTTGGATTTTAACATGATTAATCATTTCAATAGAATAATTAAAATAAATATTACTAGTACACTTTTTAGTAATTAAAACTTAGTTCAAACATTTATTGTTGTTCAGAAATATGCTACATGACAAATCATTGAATATTTAAGATTATTAAAAAATAAAAACTATCAAGTCATTATTATAAACTTGAAAATTTTAATTGCATAATATTAATAAACATATTTAAAATTCGAGCTTGGACACCATTAACGAGATTAATTATAAATAAAAAAATAATTCATTTATTTTTAGTACAGTTTACAAATATTTTATTTAACAAATAAAACGAAAACATTCTTACCATAGTAATTTAGTATTTATTAGTTTAAATCATTATCACATACTATGCAATCCTATTGCAATATCCTATGTATTATTATTGTCAGCAGTTTTAAACACAATATATTTGGAGACAATTATATGAATTATAACCATAAATATTAGAGATATAACATTAAAACCAATCATGAAGTAAAACATAGAAAACACATCCGTTTCCATAGTTTTACCCAAAATTAATGGCACTATAATTGAGATCATATTGTTCATTAAAGTTAGCGCCACTCCCACTATATTAGTGTACATGGTCATTTGAGATGTCAATTCATATACTGCAGCATTCAATGGTCCCGATCCTATGCCACATACAGCTATTGTCGCCCACAACACGTATTGGGAGTATTGGAAACACGTGACACATATTATAGTCCCTGATAACATTATTGTCAATCCGCTGTAAATTATATATTGAGGCGACAAATACTTAGCAAATATAATAGTTACCACCCTGCCTATTATTGTACAGATGGCAAAATCAGTGACCAGGTACGTTGCAATAGCGGGGCTCATGTTCAGGGTACTTCTCTGTCCAAATGTCGTTATATAACTCTCTATCGGGAGCATAGTACCATTCACGGAACTTAATAAACATGCGCAAAGTATTACGGATATTAGCTTTATGGTTGATATATGTAATTGCTTCAGCAAATCGTTAATGAACCTTTTGAAACCACTATCTGTGTTTGAACCAAGAGCAGTTTTTATACGAATAGTTGGTACCCAATAATATATGAGTCCTAATGTCAAACCGCATGTGACACAAATAATGCCGATAAACATGTATGGCAGCCATAATCTTGATACATTTAAAAATGGATCTACAATTATTGTTCCCAATATACCGGCAACACCGGTGCTAATCTGCATAGCCTGCAAATACGGGCCACACTCCCGGCCCCATAACTCTATGATCCATACCGGGATAAGGACTGCCGGGCCTACAAAACTTATGCCATATATTAGTTTAACAGGGTATAATATTTGGATTAATTTCATGTCCGGTGTCACAATAAAGGCTAATCCGGACAATATTAAACAAACCGCACAAACAATTGGCTTATTTATGTTTTGATAGACATATACTAGGTGATAAGAATAGGCTACAATTAATACAATCTACATATAATTGTTTATAGTGTTTGACATACGTAAAGTTCCCATGGTCATACCCACGTACATCATATCGTTGGCATCGGATATGCCTTCCAGTGATGTGTTGTATAACAGCTGTAGTGTTGTTAGCGTCGGTCCGGCGATGATTTGGGTCATAGACTATTCATTTTAAACAAGGTATTTATACAAGTAACCTATAATGTTATGAAAATTGGGGTAACATCACCAGGATTTTTGTAATCAAGTTAACAAATTTATCATTGTTTTTAAGATTCTATTAACCAGATAAAGTTTTTAAAACAATTAAGGTTGTTTATCCAAATCCTGATTATGTTAGTATTAATTTCATTATAAAATAAAATTAAAATATTTACGTTTACAAAATACATAACACATAAAATTGCGGTTAAAACAAGTTTAAATGTCTTGGTCATTTGATGTGTATTAAACTCCATATCGAGATTTTTAGAATAAAGTAAATAAAAGTTTTAAATTATAGATTTAAATTCATAACATTAAAAAGAGTTTGTTAAATTTATAATGAAACTATTATAAAATTAAACAAATCATCCTGGAGTAAAGTTATTATCATTATATTTTTATAATCAGGGTTACCCAGCAATAAAAATTTGCGAAATAAATAAAATAAAATTTTATAACAGTGTACATTAAATGAAAAATAAGTATTATAGACATTTAGAAAATAATAAATTCCTTTAAAACTAATTTTTTAATAAAGTTTTCTGACATAAAATAATATTCAAATTAGTGATCAATAATTATTAAACAATAAATATTTCTATGATATCAGTATCTAATCAGTTAACAAAATATTAATAATAGACATTAAGACAAAACCGCATAAAACGGACAGAAATCTCTTAAAACCCGATAACTTATCGTTTGGCAGTATTTCATAGATTATGATATAAAGTAGAGTTCCGGTGGCTATGGCTGTCGTGCCAATGATCACAGGATTACTCTCAGAGTCTTCGTCGAGAAGGGAGTCCTCGGCGACGATCACCAGTAATATACCCAACGGTGACATCACT